AGTCACATTTTTGTTGAACTTCAGCACTTTTGTTGAAGTTAAATCTTGCGATTTCGCGACCCGAACCAGCGACCGCGCGCAAAAAGCCATCGCAAACGTGCAATTAACGCGCGAATATCATCAAACTTGCTTTGATACGACCATAACCCAATTTTGGCCGTGATTTCAGCCCGCGGACCGCCGCGACACCGCGCCCGCGCGCGCGGTCGACGTACAGCCTCTATGGACGACTAATGACTCTGGCTCCGCCGGCCGGAATTCGATGATTGATCTTTATTAATATTTCCTATGGGTGCACCTAGATGTACGTTGATCGGGGCACTGCGCCCGCCTAGCCTCGCTCGTACGTCGCGTTGCCGCGGTGGGCGCATTTTTGATCAGCTGTTGCCCGACCGGTTGCTGCCGCCGCCCAACGAGAACGACCCCGCGGAGGAGATCAGGGGGGGGGCGCGGCGGCCGGAGAGACGCCGGGCTACCTCGAGACGCCGGGCCTCCTTGAGTCTCGCGTCTTTCAGCGCGACGGGCTCGCCCTTCGGGCTCGGGACCTCCGAGGCGGCCGCGGGCTTCTGGGAGCCGCCGCGCGTGTCGCTGTGGCGGTACCGCGCCTCGACGAGCCGCGCGTGGTCGATGGGCAGCGTGAGGTCGATGTCCCCGAGCACGGCCTCGGCCGTCGAGAGGCGGCGGTCGACGTCGGTCTCGTACTCGTACTCGACCTGCTCGTTGATGTAGACCGTGCGCTCCGCGTTGTCCGGCTTGAAGTGCACGTCGCCCGTCGAGAAGACCTTGAGCGTGTCGCCCTCCGTCGCGGAGCTGCTCGTCGTCGCCGGCGACGCCTTCGGGTACGCGGACGAGGCCGCGCGCGTCTACCGAATCGGCCGCGTCTCCGCGGGCTGGGCCGTGGACTTGGCGACGGACGGGTCCGCGGGGACGCGGCTCGCGCTGGCGAGCCTCGACGGGTGGGAGCCGCTCGAGCCGCGCGACGGCGACGCGGCAGCGGCCGCGGCCTTCCGCCGCTTCCCGGCCGACTTCCCGAGCGCGCCCCGCGTCTCCGAGTTGGGGCTAGGTGGCTAACTACGTCGCGCGATGTGGGGGCGAGGTAGCTCAGACCACGTCGGGGGGAATTGGCGAGGGGCGAGGGGCGGCGAGGGGCGAGGGGCGGCAAGGGGCCATCGGTCCGCATGGCCCTTGGGGATGATTTGATCAGCCGTTGCCCGACCGGTTGCCGGAGGATATCGAGAACGACCCCGTGGTGGCGATGCGTCCGCCGCCGCGGCGGCCAAGGCGACGCCGGGCCTTCTCGACGGGCGCGTCTTTCAGCGCGACGGGCTCGCCCTTCGGGCTCGGGACCTCCGAGGCGGCCGCGGGCTTCTGGGAGCCGCCGCGCGTGTTGCTGTGGCGGTACCGCGCCTCGACGAGCCGCGCGTGGTCGATGGGCAGCGTGAGGTCGATGTCCCCGAGCACGGCCTCGGCCGTCGAGAGGCGGCGGTCGACGTCGGTCTCGTACTCGTACTCGACCTGCTCGTTGATGTAGACCGTGCGCTCCGCGTTGTCCGGCTTGAAGTGCACGTCGCCCGTCGAGAAGACCTTGAGCGTGTCGCCCTCCGTCGAGTAGAACTCGACGCCGAACGCGTCCGCCATCTCGTAGCGCGTCACCTTGAAGTTGATGTACGACTGCGACACGTAGGGGTCGTTCCACCACTGGTTGCCCCAGACCTCCGTGTCGAGCGTCGACGAGTCGCAGGTCGTGACGCAGTCCGCGCCGCTCGCGGTCTGCACCACGTTGCCGGACTCCGTGAGGTCGTAGGTCGACGTGTCGTCGTCCGAGTACGTGACCGTGATGTCGCTGCCCGTCACCTCGGTGACCGTCGCGGAGTAGGACTCGCCGTCGTCGTAGAGCGCGGAGACGGCGTCGCCGACCTCGCAGTAGTTGACCGCCGAGTCCGTCACGAGCTCGCCGCCGCTGAGGAGCGCCGACGGGCACTCGAAGCCCCCGTACCAGTAGCCGTCTTCCGAGTACGTGTTGCTCTCGCTGTAGTACGTGCAGCACGTGTGGCTCCCGACCTCGCAGTAGCACTTGGCGCACGCCGACGACACGCCGCCCGTGTTCGCGCGGCACGTCGAAGGGATGCCGTTCGGGCACGGGTACACGCCGCCGCTCGTGCCGGTCTGGCACTCCCAGTCGAACGGCACGACGAAGCCCGCGCGCTCGAACAAGTTCAAGTCGCCCGAGCCCAGGCCGAGCACGCCGAGGCTCTCCCCGTCTTCGAGGCGGCGGCGCATGGGCAGTTGGTAGTCGTCCAAGGTCGAGTAGTCGTCCGGATCGACACCGTGCCCGAGCGTCGTGGTGCCGATGGGCGCGGACGGCGTGTAGGTGTGGTTGTAGACCTGCGGGAGTGTGGATGGGCTGCGAGGCGGGTGCGTGGGGCAGCGTTTGGACGCGGGATCGCACCATCTCCTCGACGTGGTCCAGCGTCGCCTCGATGCTCTCGAGGTCCTCGGAGGAGGTGGCGCTAGAGCTGCTGCCGAAGGCCGCGGCGCCGACAGCGAGCGCGAGGATCGCGTGCATGCTGACTTCGACGTCGAAGGCGGTAGGCCAATTATTGCGGTAGGCACAAAACAATTTTTAGCTGCGTTGTTCAACGTATCAGCGCTTGATCACGTTGATGCAATTTTTGGTGTAATACAATAATATCAAATCACCAAGCCTCTTGAGCCCTGCGATGGCTTTTGCATCGGGCAGCATGCATGCGCTCGCATTCCTCGCGGTTGCCACGACCATCGTCGTCGGCGGCGGC